AGAACAAGATACACATGATCCTGTCTTGTGTTAGTAGACATGATCTGACTCAGTGACACAGCAGCCTGGTCACATTAACACACAGGCTGAACTGGGTGAACTGGGTGAACTGGGTGGATTGAAGGTTTTTTCTCTGAGTTAAACTTTGTGTTTGTGTTTTGATGAGGGAGTGAGACCTCTTAGTTGAGCCCATCTCAGAGGCTCCCCTCCAGCTCCCTGCACCTCCCTCTCACTGCTCTGTGTGTCATGATGGAGCTGCTCGAAGATCTGCAGGAGTTCATGAATCTGTGAAACCTGTCAGAGCGTCACACAGAGCAGAGATCAGGAGGAACCTTTGTTTGTTTTGGGGGGACTGATTTAACTGTCGCAGCCCGTCAGCTTCAGGAACTTTGTGTTTGCAGCACTCAGCATGGCATCGTCCTGCTCTCACCTGTGTGTGTGTGTGTGTGTGTGTGTGTGTGTGTCTGCAGGTACAACAGGACAGCTCAGGAATGGACTCAGAAATATGCCATGTGATCCTCCTCCTCCTCCTCCTCCTCCTCCTCTTCATCAGCCAATCACAGCAGTTTGTCCTTGTCGTTTCTGTTCCTCCCTCTCAAGGCTTTTCGATTCTTGATTTGCCCGTTCCTCCTCTGCTTTCTAAAAAAGAGAAAATTCAACGAAGTGAAGGGCCGAGGACTCTGAGCTGTGAATGTGCCAACTGCAAAACAAAAAAACCCACAACTGGAGCGGACTCAGTCAGACCGGACCGGACCGGAGTGGACCGGACCGGACCGGAGTGGACGGAGGACTGTTACAATAAATAAGCAGAATAATTTAATGCATGTCAGTGATTGGTTCATGTGCTGCTGAGATCTGTCCACTTAAAAAAAAAGAAACGACAACAGCGTTTGGTTTTATTCCGTTTCTTGTTGTTTTTGTTTTTAGACGAGAGAGCCGTTAGTTCATCCATCATCCTCACACTGTTCTCCTCTTTTTGCACTGAAGATGAAACTCAAAGCTCTCAATGGCTGATCGATCAACTAATAGCTCTGTGACGTTTCTTTCTCAATAAAGGTCAATAAATGGCACTTCTTCCTGCTGTGACGTTTCATTTGATGAAGATGATGATGATGATGATGATAATGAAGATGAAGGTTCATCATGAAGGTTTATGGAGAGACTAATCTTGAATTCCAGCAGGTCCTGGTACCCGCTGGTGTCCACAGTACCAGTACCCCCCTTTGTGATATCGATGCAGGGGTTCCTGGGAAAGGGGTCTGGATCGGGGGCTGATGGGAGAAAGGAACCCACTCTCAGTTTATGAATAATGTGAGAAAACCCATGTTGACATCATCTTCATCATCATCACTAACATCATCAACACCATCATCATCATCATCAACACCATCATCATCATCATCATCATAACCATCATCATCATCATAACCATCATCATCACCATCATCATCATCATCATCATCATCATCACCATCATCATCATCATCATCACCATCATCATCATCACTATCATCATCAACACCATCATCTTCATCACTATCATCATCTTCATCACTATCATCATCATCATCAACACCATCATCACCATCATCATCATCATCATCACCATCATCATCACCATCATCATAACCATCATCATCATCACTATCATCATCACCATCATCATCATCATCATCACCATCATCATCACCATCATCATCATCATCATCACCATCATCATCATCATCATCATCACCATCATCATCACCATCATCATCATCACCATCATCATCATCATCATCACCATCATCATCATCATCATCACCATCATCATCATCATCATCATCATCATCATCACCATCATCATCATCATCATCATCACCATCATCATCACCATCATCATCATCATCATCACCATCATCATCACCATCATCATAACCATCATCATCATCACTATCATCATCACCATCATCATCATCACATCATCACCATCATCATCATCATCTTCATCATCATATTTAGTTCTCTTTGACCCTCAGACTTTAATTTTCTCTCAGAATTAAATTTAAATCTTTTATTATTTTCAGTCTGAATCAAACTTTTATGCTGCTGCTCTGCTTGTAATGAACCACTTTGTCCTCTAGATGGAGCTGCTTAGCTATTGATCTGATATCAGGAGAGGTTTTCTGTGGTTTACAGACTTCAGACACACACACACACACACACACACACACACACACACACACACACACACACACACACACACACACACACACACACACACAGCAGCTTCTAGACTGTGTAGCTCTGACACAGACACACGCCCCCATCACTCTGCCTGTTTTACCTTGATTGTCCACTTGGTGGCGCAGTAGAGCAGCTGAAGCTTCACCTCATGAGTGATGGAGGTGGATGGAGAACTTTTTTAAATTTTTAACAAGGGGTTCATTTTCCCCGCATCACGTGACCACTTTGACCAGCCACACCCACCTATTTACCACACGGAAGTCACGCGCTCTGTTTCCTCATTTGAAAACACGCGGGAAAGACGGCGTGAATGGACACACCTTCGGCAGGTAAATGAAGGGATGAATGAGTGAATGTTTAAGTTAGAGCTCCGAGTGAAAGAAGAAGAAGAGTTACGAAGTTTGTCAGGTAATTGGAGACTGCGTGTGTGTATGTGTATGTGTGTGTGCGCGCGCGCGTGCGTGTATGTGTGTCAGTGATATACTGACGTCGGTTCTCTTCGTTAAACGTCGTTATTTCAGAAAAACGCAGAAATCGTAACTTTGATTAATTTCTTCTTCTCTGAACAGACGTCAGATCACGTGACTGCCGTGTTCTTCCGGTGTTAACAAAAAACAACATGGAGGACAAACAGCTGAGTTAGCTTTAGCTTTAGCTCCGTGTTGATAACACTGGTTAAACTCAAAGATCTCTGATTATTTAGTTTCTTTTCTCTCAATTGTTGATGGTTCGTTTTTGTTGTTGCTAACATAGATATTATCAGAGAGTCTAGATGACTCTATGAGGCGGAGTCACGGCGGCCATCTTACTCCAGTACACCAGTCTGGTCTTCTCTATGGTAGCTGACAGGAGGTGAGTAATCTGATCTAAAATCCTCTTAACTCTGAAATCTCCACAGATTTATAAACGGTTTAGTTTATTACAGACTTAAATAAAGAGGCTCTGGATGTTTGGACGGATTAAAATGACAGACTTACTTAAAAAAGACTAAATCATGAAGAACAGCTGATTAACTTTGGACTAACTTTGAGTCACTTTGTCGAGGCTGAGACCACAACCCAGATTTTAATTTCTTATATGACAGTCTATATTTTACTCATTTATTCAGTCTAAGTGTCAGTCTTTGTGGATGTTCTTGTGTTTATCAGCTGTCTAACTTGTCTAACAGACTCGCTCTGACTGAGACCAAAGTTACAAAGTTGACGCAGTAATTTTACGTAATATAGAAAATAAATATTTATAAATGTTATTGTTATATGTTATTATAGTTATCACTATAATAGAAATATTACTAATATAACAGACATGTAATGATTAAATGCTTTAAATGATTGAATATAACTGCCTTGTGTGTGTAGATCTATCTTGTTTCTATCTGTTTAATGTTTATTTATGTAAATTCATGGTTACAATTATTCTTGAGTATTCAGGAACTAAAACTCTGAGGTTTGTTACAAAACAAACTGTTTAAAAATCAGTTAAAAATCAATCTATAGTAATCTAAAGTTAATCAATCTGTGGTTATTTAAATGATACTCGAACCGTAGACTGGAATGTTAGGAGTGGGCGAGCGTCCCGTAGCAAAATGGCCGCCATGCGCTGACGTCAGTCTTAGTAGCTAACAGCGTGTGTGCATGTGTACGGACGCCATCAGCGACGAACAGGAAGGAAGTTGATGTGCGTCACGGAGCGAGTGTCTCTTTGACCACAAATCTGTTTCTATTTGTTCAATAAAAACTTCAGTTTGATTTTATATCTAAATATTTCAAGAATTAATGAAACAGATGAAAGTTTTTCAGCCACAAAACAAACCGAATGGAAAAATATTTGTATCATAATTAACACAAAACTGTTCATACGAAACCTGAGTTATTGAAGTGACTGAGATCAACGTAAACAATGAAAACCTCAGAGGCCACCGTAGATTCTCTGACAGCAGAGGTGAGCGTGGAGCGATTTAAGAACTGACGTGTTTTTTTAGAGGAGAGTGTTTGAAAAAAGTCAGAGACACACGTCTGTGTCTGTGTGTCTGTGTGTCTGTGTCTGTGTCTGTCTGTGTCTGTGTCTGTGTCTGTGTGTCTGTGTCTGTGTCTGTGTGTCTGTGTCCGTGTCTGTGTCCGTGTCCGTGTCCGTGTCCGTGTCCGTGTCTGTGTCTGTGTCCGTGTCTGTGTCCGTGTCCGTGTCCGTGTCCGTGTCTGTGTCTGTGTCCGTGTCTGTGTCTGTGTCTGTGTCTGTGTGTCTGTGTCTGTGTCCGTGTCTGTGTGTCTGTGTCTGTGTCTGTGTCCGCGCCGTTCAGTTCAGTTCACCTCCAGCTGAAGTTTTCTGTGTGAGGGAAAAATCTTTAATTTTGACTTTTGATGAAACACCACAGACGTTTATGAAACACCACAGACGTTCATGAAACACTACAGACATTTCTGAAACACCACAGACGTTTATGAAACACCACAGACGTTCATGAAACACCACAGACGTTCATGAAACACCACAGACGCTCGTGTTCAGAGTCCTGACTGAGAAAAGCTTCAATCTTCTGATTTTCAGGTTCCTGCTCCTCTCCACCGTCTGTCCACTGGGGGGCGCTCTACTCCTGCTGTCTGCAGCTGTGAGCGGGTGGATTTCTCTACAGCTGTGTGTGTGTGTGTGTGTGTGTGTGTGTGTGTGTGTGTGTGTGTGTGTGTGTGTGTGCGTGTGTGTGTGTGTGTGTGCGCCCCCTCTTCATCAGCGTGAAGCACATGAATGAATGAAGACATGAAGGTGTGAACACAGGTGAGAGGGTGAATCTGGATTAGGAGCCTTCTTCACTTTACTTTAGTCTGTTAAACCATCATCTAATTTTCAAGGCCTTGAGGAAATATCCAGGACCTGGATAAAGGGGGGCACCTTTAAAGGCCTTAGGAGGTTTTGGAAGAAGTGTCAGAGGTTCTCAAATGTTTCTGAGTAATATCTGAGGTCTTGAAGAATTTCCAGGATGGTCTTGAAGGATTTCCAGGGTACTGTGTTTTACTTTTAAAGAGTTTCTAAGGGAGGTCTGGAAAGTTTTGAAAAGAAGAGGGATTCAGGAAAGATCCAAGGAGCTCTGACTTAGATCCTAAGGAGGGTTCCAGGCCCCCTTTGGGCTTTTCAAGGATTTCCAGGGAGTTCTTGTTTCCACTTGGAGGTTCAGAGGGTTAATCCTGACAGGTTCTTGTTATTTAGGGGGGGGGGGGGGGGGTCCTTGTGTCTGAGGATCCTTGAGAGTTCAAGAGGTCTCCATGACAACTTCAAGGATTTCCAGGAGGTTTAGGTGTTGGTCCTTGGAGGCTCCAGACTCTGATCACAGACTCTGAGGCTCAGCTGAGGGTTTTAAAAAAGGTCTTTGAGAGTTTGGAAGATTTTTGGAAGACTTCTCAATGTTCCAGGGATTTCCAGGGAGCCTTTAGAGGTTTTTGATCGCTGAGTATTTATCAGGATAAAATTTCAGGGAGTTCAAGGACTCAATAATTCCAGGTTCCAGGTCCTGGTCCAGGATATTCTTTAAAACAACAAGACGGGAAATCAGAGAAAAACAAAATCAATAAAACAAAAAAGAAAAAGAGAAAAAGAGAGAGAAAAAGATAAAGAGAGAGAGAGAGAGAGGAAGGGAAAGAGAGAGAAAGAGGGGGGGAGAAAGAGAGAGGGGGGAGGAGAGAGAAAGAGAGAGAGGGGGGGGAGAGAGAGAGTTTATAAAAATAAAGAAAATTATTATTATTGTTCAAAATAACGAGTTTAAAGGAGGAGGATCAATACATGATGACAGGATCATCAATACAGTGATTATTACTATTATTATTGTTGTTATTGTTATAATTTGAACAACATCAATAATTATTATTGATCATTTATTTTAATGATTATTATCGTTTTTATTTTCAGCAGCAGGTCCATCAGGAGTGTGTTTGTATAAATGGGGTTGATATTATTTTTCCGTTTAATAATAATAATAATAAATAATAATAATAACAATAATTAATAATATTATTATAATATTATAAATTATTGTTACTATATTATAATAATAATTAATAATAATAATTATTATAATAATTACATGGATAAAGACATTTTTATTCTTCATTAGAGAACACGGAGCTCCTCTCTCTCTCCTCGCTGATCCTTCTTCTCCTTCTTCGTCATCTCCTTCTCCTTCATCCTCCTCTTCTTCTCCTTTCTCTCCTTCTTCCTGATCTCCTTCTCCTTCCTCTTCCTCTCCTTCCTCTTCTTCGGCGTCTCATCGACTTTTTCTCTCCAGATTTTTTTCCCGGTTTTCCAGACGATTCAGAGTCTCTGGAGGAAAACGGAGAAAAACTAAAGAAGGATAAATATTTCATCAGCGCAGAACCCCGGAGTTCGTCCTTAATGAGAGGGGGAGAGAGAGGGGGAGAGAGGGGGGAGAGAGGGGAGAGGGAGAGAGGGGGAGAGAGAGGGAGAGAGAGAGGGGGAGAGAGGAGAGGGGAGAGAGGAGAGGGGAGAGAGAGGGAGAGAGAAGAGAGAGGGGAGGGGAGAGAGGAGGGGGGGAGTAAAGAGAGAGAGGGGAGAGAGGGGGGAGAGAGAGGGGAGAGAGGGGGGGAGTAAAGAGAGAGAGGGGAGAGAGAGAGAGAGGGGAGAGAGGAGGGAGAGAGAGAGAGAGAGGGGGAGAGGGGAGAGAGGAGAGAGAGAGGGAGAGAGAGAGAGAGAGGGAGAGAGAGAGGGGAGAGAGAGGGAGAGAGGAGGGAGTAAAGAGAGAGGGGAGAGAGAGAGAGAGAGGGGGGAGAGACATTATAGAGAGAGAGAGAGAGAGAGAGAGAGGGAGAGAGGGAGAGAGGGAGGGAGGACCTAAAATCTCTCACCTCAAAAAAATCAACACATTTTTATTTTTATTATTTTTATTAAATTTTCTCTTTAATCTGATTAAAGTTTTTTTTTCTCTGTTAGTTTGAAATAAAAACACAAAGGTGGAAGTGTGTGTGTGTGTGTGTGTGTGTGTGTGTGCGCGCGCGCGTGCGTGCGTGCGTGAGCTCCATATGTCCGCGCGTGAAGAAGCACAAATTGGTGCCAAATTACCGCGCGTGTCAGTCTGATGATCCACATGAAACCCTGAAACCTGCTGAAGTCTGTGAGGACGGGTCCTGGTCTGAGGGTCTGAGAGGGTTCGGACTGACGAGCCGGACTCTGAGGGAGGACCTGAGTCCGTCAGGGAGGGGGGTCTGCAGGACCACAGTCCGGGCTGAAGTCCTGATCCTGTTGGTCCTAATAAAGGCTCTAAAGTCTCCACGTGAGCGCCTCTGAGGGTCCGGGCTCTGGACCTGGTTCTGTCGAACCCCCCCACATGTTCAGAGAGAGTCCACCTGGATCAGAGAGGACCCCCATCAGTCCGGTCCTCATCCCGGACTCCTCTGAACCCGGACCTTCACTTTTTACAGTGGAACACGCGGAACTCCTTATTTGGAAAGAAGGAAAAAACAAAACAGTGACGTAACGACCCATACTGTCCAATCAGACGTCAGGGGTGGGGCTTAAATGCAGATGACTCTCCCATATTTGGAGCTGACCCCGCCCCTCCAGCTCCACGCCGGTCCCCCGGGAGCTCCGGAGCCTCGGACCCCGGGAGAAGGAGCTCTCCGCCGGGACAGAGGAGCCATAAAGAGCCGGGGAGGGAGGGGGCAGAGAGTTGGTGTCCCCCCGGGAGGAGCAGCAGCCTCCCTCCTCCGTCCCTCCCTCTTGTTTGTTCATCCTTTTCCTCCTTTTTGAAGCTTCGCTCCTCTTTTTCATCCACTCTTCTCTCCTCCTCACTCCGCGCCTCCTCACTCCGCGCCTCCCTCTGATCCCGGCTCTCCGCGCTCCCTTCTCCCGGCGTCAGGCTCTCCGGATCCCGGTTGATTGTCGGCAGTTCCTCCTCCTCCTCCTCCTCCTCCTTCTCCTCCTCCTGCTCTTAAGTTCAGAGCCGCGGACCGGAGCCCGGACTGCGGACCGGGGCTGGGATCTAAAACAAGCCCGGAGAAACCCAGAGGGATCCCGGGCTTTTCTCTGGATCAGGACCCGGTACTTTTGGGAAGCTCGCTCTGTGTGTCCCTCCTCCCCTCCTCCTCCTCCTCCTCCCCTCCTCCTCCTCCTCCTCTTTGCTCCTCTTTTCTCCACCTTAATCCAGGTGGTCCTTTGGCTTTTTGGAGTGGCTGCTACAGGGAGGATTACTCTTCTTCTTCTTCTTCTTCTTCTTCTTTGGTGTTTCTGCTGAAGACGAAGCTCCCAGAAGGACACTTTGATGTTCTCCATCCAGGACAGCCTCCCCAGGGGGGCCCTGACCATGAAGGAGGAGCCGCTCCCCACCGGCATGACCCCGGTCCGCTCCTGGATGCAGGGCGCAGGGATTTTGGACGCGAACACAGCGGCCCAGAGGTAAAAAATCACTCCGACTTTCTTTCTCTGCGCTCCGCCGCGACAGTTAGTGCCGCACCGAGACCCTGCAGGTGAGCGTCCTGCTCAGGTTCGGGTCCTGCAGGCTCCGGGTTTCACTGACCCGCAGGGTTCGGGTTTATGTTCGGCTCGGCTCGGCCTGCAGAAGAGAGAGTTTTGACCCTGAAACCAAGAACCACAAACCCAAAGATCTGCAGGGAGAGAGAGAGTCCGGGGTGGATCTAAGAAAAGAGAGAAAAACAGAGAGAGGGAGAAAGAGAGAAAGAAAGAGAGAGTTTAACTTTAATAATCAAAATAAAGTTTAAAATCTCAGAAAAACAGACCCGAACTTTCCTCCAACAGAACCAGAACCTCTGAGTGTTTTAACTCTTCAAATCAAAAAACAAAAACTGTTTCAGAAAAATGAAAGAAAATAAATTCTTTTAATTTTGAAGAAAATCTTCATCACTCACTCAGGCTCTCCTCCTCCTCCTCCTCCTCCTCCTCCGAGCTCCGCTGATGCTCTCCGCCCTCAGCCCGGCTCCCTCCACCTCTCCGCCGGGTTCAGGCTCCGCAGCTGCCCGGTCGGAGCGGACACACACTCTCACACACACACACACACACACACACACACACACACACACACACACACACACACACACACACACACACACACACACTCTCCGGGTTTTCTCCGCTGCTCTTTCTCCGTCCTCCTGAAACTGAAGTTTCTCCTTCTCCTCTTTCTGCTCCGACCCTCCGCGGGAGGAGAGTCCGAGGAGGAGCGCGGAGCCGCGGCCGCTGCTCCTCCGCTCCTCCTCCGCTCCTCCTGCAGAGAATCGGATTATTTAAAGACGTTTAATCCGGTTATAATCAGAATAATTGTGTTTCTGTCTTTAATCCGAACAGAGTTTTTCTCTCGAAAATCCTCCGAGTTTAAATTTTTATTTCTGGATCATTTTATTTCTGAAATAAATTCAGATTAAATCATTTTACAGATTAAATTAAAGTTTATAAACAGAATAAAAAACCTCAAAGCTTCGGGATAAAGAGACACAGAGAGAGAGAGAGAGAGAGAGAGAGAGACCCCAAAATATGATAAAAAATCAGTTTTAATAAATTCAGAGAAGAAATAAAATAACTGAGAATTAAAACAGGAAATAATCCAGAGTCAGAAAGATCAACTCTTCTCTTTTTCCTCTAAATTATTTTATTTCTGATCATTTATTCTGGAGATTTTATAAAAGTGTAAAAATCTGAATTTTATTTAAAGATTCACTGAAACAGGAAAAACCTTCGAACCTCCGGATTCTTGATTTTAGACACAAATCAGGCGGTTCTGGTCCCAGAAGGACTTCAGACTGGACCTCACTGAGTTCTGATC